AGTTAATGCAATAAGACTCCTCGCTTTGTTCACAGAACAAGCTTATTCAGGGGGACAAAGCACCTTCCTTGTTGCCTTTATGCTATGTTTGATCTCTTTCTTAATGTGCTTATCAATAAATATAATCAAACTGACTTCAAATAAAGAAAAACCGACAGAAATATATATTAGTTAAATCTTGCAACTGGCCGCAGCATGTTATTGTATGATGAACTAGCTGTAAGGACAAAACAACTCCGAAGGGGCAGGGGTACAATGGGCCGCACCCCAATCGCATGATTCATGGAGCAACTTCGGCAGCTGTTTCCCCCACACAAATGTCCCATGCATTGTTGGGTTTACAAAACTTTTAATGCTGCATTGATTCACAAAATTACATTTTATCACCACAACAAGTTTCAGGAAGATCCTGACACTAACCATTATATTGGGCATAGTGAGTCGATGGCAGCAAAAAATGCTTGATGATATCAAGTTGTGCCATCTCTCTGCAGTCTCGGATAATTGCCGTGGTTCAGATTACAGGGTTTTTTTTTCAGTAAATATACTGTATTAGGGCACTTAAGTATTATTCTTATACATCACATAACCATCACTTTAAGTTCTATTTAAGTCACACAGTAACCAATTTATTACAACTCAAGTGTAAAGAAGAGGAAATGCTACAAGACATGTGGGAATAGGTCAATTTAAAGTGAATAGAATTTATCTAAAATAGAAATTAAGCTCTATAAGGAAGCTGCTATATCAGTCTTATTTAGCACTTTACAAATTGTAAGTTTGGGACATTGAAAAAGATTAATAGAGTCAGTGGAAGTGATTACTTGATTTTTAGTTGGAGCGCAGGAAACCTTTTGGCCTGAGTTGTGTGAGGGAAAGGGTTTGATTCAAGAGGGTCTTCCTGTCCCTAAAGTTAGGATGTGTACTAACTGCTGAGAATACTGACACAAAAAGTGCAAGTGTCACTCCAACTCGGGTCCTAGAACATGTACCCAGTAGCAGGTGGCTCACACACGCACACACACTTTCTGTTACTGTCAGTTTAAATTGTTTAAAAACTTTTAAATTACTTTTTTCTGAAAATAGACAAGAAAAGGGGGTGTTATGCAATGTGGTTGTTTTTATTTGCCACTTAAGTGTTTTTCTTTTATTTATTCACTGATGAGTATTGTATAGAATTTGGAATGGAATGAGGTAACCCGCACAGTTAAAGGAGTGCAACTCTCAATTTCAGCAGGATGAATTCATTTACTTTTAAAACTTTGTTACTTAAAATTATTGGAGGCCACCAGTATTATGCTGTTTAACCAGCAGAACCATTTGACATGGAAATTGATCCAAGCTGCTGTTATTTTCTCAAGCAATCAAAGCAGTGTTCAGCCTGGCTTGTAAATCTTCCCAGCTTGACGGCACTGGGGAGGATGGGGGAGACATTGCTCTGACCATTATCTCCACTTTTGTGTGATGGCCATGATAGGGTTTCCTGTTGTGTCTGTCTTATCAAAGCTGGCAGAGACAAAGTAAGGATCAGATGCCAGATTAGAGAGAGGGGGCACTTGAAGAAAAAGAGTAAAATCCAGAGAAGAATCGTAGTCAGTCAGTTGGTCATCGCCATTATTGTGGAGGATGTTGGTAGCTCTCACAGGATGACATGTTAACTTGGCACTGTTGATCTTTCAGAATTAAGGAAGAAGTCACACAGTTGTTAATTACTTGGTTGGCTGATTAATTGGTCTATATTGGGGTATTAACTGACCAGGTTGCCTGCCAGCCAGCCTCCTTGTTAATGATACTATAGTGAGTGGCTTAATCTCACCAGGAGGTGCTGGTGTGTGAAGTAACTGATTAAGAACATCCTCAGGAAGTTACTGCATTACTACTACCCATGACCACTGACCAGTGCAGGTCAGTTTGCATGGTGATTCTGGACATGGCAGACATAAAACTTTTTAGGACTACTTTACTATGGATTTTACCATTCGTTTATGGATTTACAACCGTATCAACTGCAACATACAGAAGTAAGTTAATTGGCTTAAACTGTATATCAGTGGATTTTTTTTTTTTTTTTTTTTTTTTTTTTTGTGAGAGGAAATTGATTTTATCTTTATTATAGTTCATTAGTGTACTGTTTTAACTACAATTGAAGTTATTGTAATTTTTATTTTTTTCTCAAAGGAAAAAGTGCTATAAGTAAGCAAGAATTAATGAACTGTCTGTAGAAAAGGTGTTTCTAATAATCAGAGTGTAGATCTAAGTAACTCTAATATTGGACAGTGAGATTAGGGTGCCTTGTATAACCTTTTAGCATCATCAGCTTTTGGTAGCCCGGAGTTATGTAATGTTTAGACAGTCTCAAACTTCAGAGGATTAGTGCAGAGGTATGTGTACTGAATTACCCCAATATTATGGAGAGGAGCCCAGGTAGCAAGAAGAATAGACTTCTTGTCATCTTTTATTTTCTAAATGACATGCTTTTCATTAGCCCTTGGTGTCAGGCAGAGTAGGGAAATCCCAGGAAGGAGAAAAGCAAATCATTGAAAAGTAAATCTCATTAAGAGACTTAATCTTATTGAAAAGGCTGAGTAAGAATAGGGCTAATTTTAGATTGATGAGTTGAAGAGTTGAAGTAGAGGTATTTATAAGCATGACTTAGTTTTCAAAAAAAAAAGTAAAGTGACCATCATCGCTTGATGTAAATGTGCACATGTTGTGTATCACCATTAGAAGTAGCCTGTGAAATGGGCACCAGTATTAAATGGCATGTTTAATCAGTACCCTGTATCCCTGTGTACACAACTGTCAAGTCAACTAGAATGATGCTACCTGAATTTACAGATCATTTTTATCTTCTTACCCTGGGAAAGATTCACTAAGATTTTCACGAATCCTATGAGCATGGTACTCTATGGTGCAGGAATTGTGCTGGATTTACTTTGCTTAGAGCAGATCAGGCAATTACATTGCACTAAATGTCAAAAGACTTCACAAACTACAGTAATTAAGATCAGCCTGTAAATGTCACCATTTTACCTCTTAACTGTCAGAGCTACAGTTCCTAATTAGCCTGCACCTCAAGCAGTTTGTATTGGCAATCAGAAAACAGGAAAATTGACAAATGGAGTATCAATTTATTACTTGAAAATATTCCACTTGGCTGAACAACTGTGGTCCTGAGAGAGTGCAAGGCAGTGCAGTGTGGTGTGGCAGGTGTGAAGTGGACTTCAGAGTGACCAATGGGCATGATGACCAATGTCACTGGGGATTGACCCATGCTGGGCAGTTAAACACTAGTGTGTAGCAAAGTGGAGCCAACTGAAATAAAAAAGGTTGACTGGCCAACTGAATCAACCACTCCTTATTTTTGACAAGTCTGTGATATTTTATTGTCTTGAGTGAACGTTATCAAGCACTATCTCTGGGTACTGGGTACATTGGGCAAATTATCAAGAATACTGGCATGCAAAAATGAATTTTGATTTTCATCAAAGCATGACAGATTTAGATTAAATGAAGGTAATTTTACTGTCTGAGGAACCAGAAACATGACTTTCATGGCAGTTCATGGCATTTGTTATGAAGCCTGTCCACTTTGAGTGTTAATCACCATTGTAATTCCAACCCTACACCTGAAACAGCCTTTGAGATTTTGCTTCAAACATAACCTTGTCAAAGTCTGGGGATTTATGTCTATTGCCATGACAACAGCACCAAACTTGATCCCAGTCCTGTAGTAAATTTCAATGTTGAACTAAGGGAGGTTGAAATAGATAGGCTTTCCTTAGTAGAAGGTTAAGAAAAAGATAATTGAAACCATTCAGTGTTTCATATAAGATGTCAGATTTCTTGTGATAAATGTGTACTTTCCATAGAGTGTATAGATTTGGTCACTAGTCTGACCTGGCATTTATGCTTGCTTTTTTCCCTTACTTATATTACCCTGGCTGAAAGCAGTGCTGTGATCAAAATTAAAATTGCTGACAGAAATTGTGGATGTTTGTAAGAAAGCAATAAACCACTTCATCTGGGCATTTCCTTTTCCCTCAAAGGTCACTGCAGGCATGGAAATCTACTTGAACCTGGTAAAAGCTCATTGCTTGCAAAAACCCTGTTGAACTCCTGCAACTCAATCATAGAGTATGCTGCTGAAATAATTGGTTGAAAGGATATATTGCAAACAACTGCAATAGCATGTAATACCAGAAGCTGCTGTGTGCTTGTGACAGCTACACACATTTCTCCTATTCATTAACATATTGGGACAGTTAGGGGCAACTGAACTGAGCTGAGGTCTGGAGTATTTATTCATGTATCAAAAATTTTTCTTTTTTGAAAAAATAAAAATGACTGCCACAAGTTGCGATCCAAGGTTCCAACTTGACCCTCCGGCCCACTTCCTGCCCAACCCACCCGCTCTCCACTGTGCAGGGGAGTTCCATCCAAGTCTTGATTTTTTTGGTAATGTGTAGAGAAATCAACAGGATATGACAGATTATGGAAGGACTGGTAAATTGAAATGAACAGCCTGAGCTGCATTCAAAAAATGGTTCCTATGTTCAAAATAGCACTATGACTTGAATTACATGAAATTTCATCTGTGCCCGAGGCGACTTGTCTATGTTGGTGTTTTCAGAGTCGCACATTGTTCACGTTTCAGTCTTGAAAGACAATAATGGTCTATTGTTGTGCAATATCAGTTAACTGGTAAAGTATACACCGAGAGGCAGAAAGTAATAAACCAGTCTTTGTGAGGTCCTGTTACCAGACTGCCTCAAATCTTATCTTTAAAGAAACTTACCTGAAAAATAACGGTTGTAATAGGATCACAGAACCCCCTGACCTGACATCTTTCTTTTATAATAACATGGGTTGGCCATTCACTCACTCATTCATTTATTCATTCATTTATTCTCAGTTGTAATGATAAATCTATTTTAAAATTCAAAGTTACATGATTGAAATGCAGTATTTTTATTTATTGTTATTTTTTTCTCTTTCAGAAGATATTATTAGCTTTAAGGGCAGGCATACGCGTGTTATAAGGTTTAATGAGATGTCCTCAGGCAAGCTGAGGTGTAGAGTGAATGGAAATCCACAGCCAATGCTCCTCTGGTACAAGAATGGAATATTAGTGGATCATAAAAACTGGCCAAGGTGAGTAACCTCCAACTTTAAACACATCTTTTAAAACAGCTGGGTCTTGTAAGGCAGTACATCTGGAAAGTTGTTTATCTCTTAAAATTTATCATCTGGTTGAAGCGCATGTTTGAAGAACGTGACTTTTCACCAGCAGTATATCTATTTTGCCCATTGGAATGAAACCCCCTGGTAGCAAATCTAACCAACAATCTATTTAACCCCCCAAACATGCTTTGTTTTGACAGTTTTCTACAACCTGATACAAGACCCTGTGCCATTGCTTGTTTTAAAGAACAATTTGACATTTATGGACTACTGTAGAACAGAAGGCACCAGGGATTGCCTGGTAGCTTAATTAGGGAGGAAGATGCTGGTAAACCCTGCACCCATCTGGAAGTTGAAGTTGCTGAAACTGTGGTCTTATAGAAAGCATTTGATACCACTGAATAGGTCCATTGTTTGTGACAAATAGATGTACAACTATTCATCATTTACCACAGAGGGGAAACTTGGCCTCAGAAAACTAACAGCAGTTATCCTTACTCATCACTACACATTGAAATAATTTGAAGAGTTAATGAGTAGCAGAAAGATCTGCTTGATTCATTGTATGGACTTATGCACCTTCCTTTTTCACATGCATCATATCCCGTAATTGTTTTAAAGTTTGCCATATTTTGTTTGTAAAGTGAACAGTTTCCACATCACACCGCACATGTCCACTTGATCAAACAACTTGTCACTCTCTCTCCATTTGCCCCTTGATTTAAGTGACTTTCCACAGTAGGAGAAATTTAATTTATTCCATCAGGGAGAAGAATAACAAGTTATCACAACGTTTTTGAGTATTTTGCTGATTGTTTTTAATCAATTGTTATTCATTAAATGGAGTTCCCACAGGAAAGGCTGGCAGGTTGTGAGGGCCGTGATGACAGGATTTTTAACTGGGAGTGATTTTTTTTCTTTTTTTTTTATTGAAAAATAGAAAACAAAGGGAAATTTGCAGATGTTGAATTTTTCCAAAATAAACAAAATACTTTACAATTAACAAGACAGAAAAACAAAGGAAAAATTAAAAGTAAGCAGAACTTTTGATCATGAGCATAAACAATTATTATAAGCAAGATATTAAATTTTACAGAAATTTTAATCTTCATGTAACAATTTCAGATATGATGTCAGCCGTTACAGCCTTTCTATTGCCAATGTTACCCGTGAAGATGTTGGGGAGTATGGTTGTCTGGCATATAACCACCAAGGCAAGGCATGGAGGAATTTTACAGTCAAAGTAGAAGGTAGGTAGAAGACAGCATAATACATTACTTTTGTGGCGAGTCTTTGACTATAATTGCATCACAAATAGAGGAGCTGTAAACATGTTAAGTTGCACAGTTCAAGGTATAAATCAAATTCTTCGTGAAGGAACACATTACGTACTTGTACCTAAGCACAGGGGCTCCAGCCACATTCTTGAGGCAAGAGAGCATACCTGGTTTATTGATGGCATTAATGTCTCCCCTCACACATGAAGTAAAAGGGAAGCCCAACATGAAAGGTTACATGATGTACTTGGTGGTTAAGTTTTTATTACACTTTGTCTTTTCAGATCCCTACACTGGCCAAGTGTTCGAGCCAGATATAAAAACAAATGAAGATGAAAAACCCACGGGACCCAGTAAGTTGACCCTGATATTTTATGTTGTCTATGACAGAACTCAACTGTCACCTGAACTACTGGACTTGACAAGCCAAGTTATTTCTTAGACTAAAAATCCCCTCTGACTTGTTTTTACTGAAGAACAACATTGTTTACTGTGCATGGAGTAGACAGTGAACTCGGTACTTGAGAGTGGATACATTTCCTTCGATGTGTGTGTTTCATGCATTCCCATGCTTTCCTGCTGCTCTGTTCCATAAGCTTGTGTTTTTAGGGTAAGCAAACTGTGTCTACAGGCCTGGGGAGTCCTGGGAAAGGTAAACAGTCCACCCCCCTGGCGCTGTCAGCTGCAATGGACAGTGATGAGGGCACTCCACTAATGGTGGTGCACCTGCAAACATGCCTGGACATCAAGCCTCTAGGTGAAATGCCCCAAATTATCCTCCTCTTAATAATAATATGCTGGGGTTGAGAAGAGCTTTGTGCATTAAAGAATCACTGACACTTTGTGTATCTGTGGTCTAGGGTACTTGGGGCTTTTGACATTCTACATGAGAAAGGTGGGAAGTAAGTCTACTGGCTAACAGTGGGGTACGGGATGGGTTTTTAAGCCAGACTTCAAATTGAAAAGATATCATTGAAAGATAGATGTATTCAGGAATAAGGTATCTGTATTCAGAATGACACTTGGATGGAACTGCCCAGTTTGTGTTTAGGAAAAATATGTCAAGTGATAAGAGATAATAGCTTTTCCTGGGTTGTAATTGTTTCCATTTTTAGTCTAAGATAGTGTCAACTCTCATACTATCCTTAGCTCCAGAATCCTGACAAAAATGCACCAGTTGTTCGTAGCAAGATACAAAACAACTTGCATTCCACAGGTTCAGAGTAGGGGATATTATCTTTCTCATGACTTGTTTCTGGCATTTCTTCCTTTGTCAGTAAGCTGTCAATGGTAGTATTAAATTCACTAAATCTACAGAAGTGTTGGCCTGGGAAAGCCTGACTGATGTCCAGATGTAACATATTCTGGTAAAGGGTCTTAACATTATTTGTTATTCAGCATACTGGTGGAGGAATTCAAGGTTGTCATGCAATATGACAGGTGAAAAATTGCTGTGAATCAGATAAAATGAAATCTTGCGGTGACCTGAATAATGCAGGCCTCCTACTGAGTCTGAAACATGCAGCCATTAGGAATTCCTGTGTAAAAAACAATAAAATTCATTAATTTTTTGAGAAAATAACTATTACCTTCCCTTAATCAAAGTTTGAAAATCAGTAATCCTAGGTGTGTTAATGAAAAACATCTGTAGAGTTAAGATGGACAGATTGATTTTGACAGCAGTGGTCAAAGCTGTCAGAATGGGGTTTCCAAGTGGCAGACTTTGTCTTTTTCTCCTACTCTACCTCACCACAGTTTATATGGTGAATGAATAATAGCTTCTAGCGTCTGTGAAGAAAAGGATTGGTTCAAAAAACAAGTAGAAAACAGAAAACCACACTTTGGAAACCAGTTCTTAATAGCCTTATAAATGGTTTACCAAGGTTTTTCACTTTTCACATTAGTCTGTGTGATGGAACCAAAATGGCATCTTTAATTTTTTAGGTAATCAGACTTCTTTAAATTAACCCTAATATGGTTAACTGAGGGTCACCAAGAAAGAAAACCAAAACCCTCTTCAAGAGCCAAACCATAAACTATAAGAAACTTGTTTTGAATTTCCATTGCTAAATGAGTGGTTGTGTATTGTTACTTTGACCTTTGCCAAAGAACTGGATCCTGTATTCCAATATCTTAAATCTAACATTTGACTTAATTTGCCTAATCACGTCTGGCAGTGACTTAAGGCTAAAAAGAAAAAAAAAGTCGTCTTTGCTGATGCAAAAGATGCAAAGACAGGCGTGCAAGATTTGACCCACAGCTTGTGCATGTTACTGCAAACTTTTTTGAAAAAAAAAATTGGCTATTGGTTGTTGGATGTTTTCAGCTTAGTTTGTTCCTAACAACAGTAAGGACAATTCACAGCTGGATTTTTTACTGTTACAAAGTCTCAAATCAATGCCTCTGTGTATGGTTACACTGTTTATCTTTTGTCTATTTTGACATTCTCTTGTGCTTGTTCTTGATATGACAGTGTGATCCCCCATTGTCCCTGATCACTGACTTTGAAATTTGGCCCTTTTTCTGAGCGCAGAATCTTCACAATGACGTTCTTAGTTGAGACTCCAACTGTGATACAGAGAGAGTGTTGAAAACCAAGCTTGGAAAAATAGATAGCTGAGGAGAAAGTATTTTCTACGGGTTACTATCAGGCCTGCACCCCCAGCTTGCACCCGATAAGATCCAGGGAACAAGCAACAAGGAAAGTGCATCAGACAAGTGTTTGGCAGCTATAGTTGTTGTTCAGTGAGTTGTAAAACAAGTCCTGAAAAAGTCTGGCTTTGCAGAAAAAGTAGTGGATGATAAAGTGCAGTTAACTTGGTGTGTGTGTTGCCAGGGAATGGAGTCCAGATGTATTTGCTATTCCCAGGCTTTTACCCCACTGCCTGGGTGGCTGTGTGGCCTCCAAATGGCAAGACTTTCTACTCCTGTAATGTTAAGTAAATTTTGCTGTAATTTCTATCTTTATACCTGCATGCCTTGCTTATTTTGGTTCTTGTTGCATCACTTGCTCATATCCCAGAACCATGCACCTTTAATGAGTGTGTAGTGGAAATTATCAGATCTGAGGGCCTGGGAATTGGTCTTCAGATCAGATCACTTTTGAAAAACTGAAATGGATCATGTTTTTCACTGACAAATAATCAAGAACAAATGGGCTGAATTCACCTGCAGTAGGTGCCCAGGAAAAAAAACTACCTCATCTACTTGGTCATTTATCAATCTCCCACAGGGAGCATTAACCTTGTCTAATGAAAGAGCCAGACTAGCACACGTCTCTGCCCCCAGTTCACACAATACCCAGATGACCAGGGCTTTAAGTTAATGATAGGGGGGCTGTATGGTCACTTAGGCTGTGCTCTGCGATGCCTGTTGAGTACAATAATCTAAGATGGCGCAGTCTGTGGTAATAATGAGCAGGTGTGTCAGGTTATGCAAGTAGTGATGATCCCCCTCGTATCCCACCTGTCCAGGGCCCTGGAAAAGAAACCCAGATAGAATTTCAAGAAAATGACTTTCTTTTCACCCACATGTTTTGCCCTCCTCTGTTTGAAAATTTGATGGCATGGGAAATTTGCAGGGTGTATTTGTGGAAAGATCGCAGTCTTTTGTGCAGAAAATTGCCGTCCCTCCCCTGATAACCCTACCTTTGTGGGAGAAAACTAGGAGTTGGAAGTCTCATCTTGTTTTCTCACGATTAATATCATAGGTTATGCTATTGTTATCAAGAATAAGTAAATGAATATTATATTCCTCTACCAAATTTATTATTATAAATGTGACTTATTGATATGTTGTTTAGGTTTGAGAACTAAATATCCCTTGATTTTGATTTTATAGACAAAGCTTATGTACATATGTTGAACTAAATTTAAAAGATAGATCAAAAGTTTAAGGTACCTAATTTATGACAATGCAGACTGAAGAATTCATAGGCATTCATGTACAACTTTCAGGTGCACCATATTGGTCAGTGCGCAAAGGAGACCGAAAGTTGATCATTAAACCAGCAGGAAATATGGTCCAGTTTAAGTGTCCAGCACTGGGCAATCCAGAGCCGACCACAACCTGGCTCAGGAACAACCAAAAGTTTGACCATAATTCAAGGCAGATTGGAGGGGTAAGGGATCAACATGTTAAGTCGTCACCAAATGCAACGTGGTGTCTCCAACAGTTGCAGGTGCTGTCGTGATCACCCTAATCCTTTGTGTAGATATCAGCTATCAAAAGTATTGATTTATTTATTTTTGACAGTTAAGCAACAGTGTTCCTTGACACTGTTATCTATTGACTCAGTTGAAATGGTTTAAAAGGTATGCTTTACAGGGTAACTGGCATGCAGAGAAGGTATTGCAAACATGCAGATAGGTGCCACACCATTCATACATAGATTTACTTTATCTGTTTTTGTGGCTGTTTTAATGATTTGCAGTGTAAACTGGAGTCTCAATGAGCTACATTATGTTAACCATTTATTCTTGTAATAAAACCTGGAAGCTTAAGATAAGTGAAAAGAAATATCCTAACTGACATTAACATAATAGAAATTAAGAGAAAAAAGTAATTCTGTCTTATTTATTAATTGATGTTTGTTTTTCTCTTTGTTGGCATATTTTAAATACATTCTGATGAATTTTTGAGATCAGAATTGAGATGTTTTACATCCTTGCCAAAGATAAAAAATTCATTGGAATTGCTTTCATTAAATTTTAGGTGACCATCCGCAAGTTCCAGCTGATGTTGAATGATTTGACGACAGATGACATTGGAAATTACACATGCATTGTATCCAACTCTTTGGGTTCTATCAACCACACATTTACCCTTGATATTGTGGGTAAGTGATTCGATCCTTATTTCAGTAAATGAATATGAAATGTGTGTGTTTATGATTTGAAAATATCAAGTACAGTAAACAATTCTGATTAAGTTCATACTTATTAAATCATATGTATTCAAACGTGTAAAGACAAGTTCAATAGGTTGTCATGAAGTTATTGTACAAAAATAATTTAGAGATATATTTATTATCTTTTATCTGTCCAGAACGTCTTCCCCACAAGCCCATCTTCCAAGAAGGTTACCCTAAGAATATGACAGCAGTGGTAGGTGAAGATACCCTGCTGGAGTGCCGCATCATAAGTGACCTGCAGCCGCAACTGCAATGGCTTAAACATTACCAAGTCAATAATTCCTACTATGACAGTGAAGGAATTCCTTATGCAGAATTGGTTCAGGTATGTACGTCTTGCTGATAAAGATTTTGAAAATTCACAATGTGGGGATTGATAATTGGGAAATATTTTTCATTTTTGTTAATAAGTAAATAATTTTACAATTTTATTCGTAGATTTTCCTGGAATATCATTTTGAAATGTGTATGTGATATTTTTGTTTGATATTTACATGATCTGACTTGAATTTTCAGAGTGGAAATTTGAACATCACAGACCCTGGCAAGCTGTTGATCCAGAATGTGTCCTATGATGATGCAGGCTGGTATACTTGTCTGGCAGGCAATACGTTTGGTTGGTCCTACAGAGGGGTGTGGCTGACTGTAATACCAGGTAAGGCAGGGCACATCTTATAAAGAAATTGACTTATTTGTGTTTAATAATACTTGAGTTACCTGTAATAAAAATAGATACATAAAAAATTGGCACAACAGTGCATTTAGTTGTATAAACAAGGAAGTCCATTAGCAATGCTAATAGGCATTGCACCAAATCTTGAATTCTTTGTTTATCTCAAAAATGCAGATATTACTAATTTTTTTTTTCAATTCTAACTCTTTCCAGCAGCTCTACCTAGAGATCTGAATATGACTAACTTCGATGTGTCTGAATTTCTGAGAGATGGACAAGACCCCACCCTCCCTTTGATTGTAGCTGGAGTGGTCTTTTTATTGCTGTGCGCAATATTTATTATTGGGCTTATCGTTCACCTAAAAAAGAAAAAGCAAAGAGAACAGTATCCTCCTCAGCCTATCAAGAAAAGGGTTGTTTTGATGAGACAGGTAAATGATGTGGTGTTCCTTACATTGAATTAAAGGGTTTATCTAAAAAAAAAAATGAAATAAATATTAACTGTGTGTGCAGGTGATTCTTAGCAGCAAGTTTATGTTGGTTTCAACAGGTGTTCTTTTATGGTACATAATTTGAAGTTTTAACTTTGTATTCTAATTTGTTTTGTAAATTTCAGAATGACTTGTATCGAACATATCCCAAAGATCCCAGCATGCGCAACTCTTTACTGATGCCACTGGTGCCTCCACAAGTACGCATAGAAGGAGGAAGAAACCGCTTGTCTTCCGAGTTGACAGCATTGTCTGAGTATGAGATCCCACTTGATCCAGAATGGGAAATTAGCAGAGACAGGTGAGATTGCAACATATCAAAAAGGGAGTGTGTTGTTGAAAATATTTAACAGGAACATGCTAGTCATGTAATGAAGGCATTGAGTAAACTTGCTGGCAAAGTTGCCAGGAAAGTGAGAGGCAAAAGGAAATGCTAACCGGTAGGGCTAAGATGCAGCCACAAGGACAGCATACAATTCTCTCCCATGCCTCAGGTGAGAGTTACAACTCCATCTTGTTAATCTATTAGCCTGGGAGGAATTTACACATCTTTCATGGACAACATAATGAATTGATTGTCCCAGAATAGATGGCAGGTAAGAGTTGGCTCATTGAGCAAGGTGTGCGAGCCACTAGTGTCTGAAGAGCTCTGATGTGTTTATCCTGCTGAGATATCCTGTTTATCCTGCTGTTGCCAAGGGCAGACATTACCCAGATTTTTACCTTCACTTTGCATCATAGGTGCTGTAAACTATGAACTTTATTTACTGGGAATGTTTAGACAAGATGATGAAGAACATTGATGGTTTTCCACTTTTTGTGGGGTGAAGTTGGGTTAAGCAATTGGTGATGGTTCACAAGCAGAACAAGGAAAGACTGATACCGACTTCTTGTGTTAATGTATATCCTTAATATCAGTAGCAGCGCTTTAATGATTAAGTACAGCATGGCATTTCCTGCCTTTCCTTTTAGTTAGAAGTTACTTATAACCATGATGAAATGTTGATTAAAAGCATGTCTCTAAAAGCGAGGGCCAGGCCATCGCCTGCCTAAGTAAAGGAAATCTTAACCTAGGTGTAGTGATGCTTTCTGAATACTGCTGAAATCCATTAACGTCATTCCTGTAATAAATTATATATTTTTTGTACTTATAGGGTTAGTCTAGGTAAACCTCTTGGCGAGGGAGCATTTGGTCAGGTGATCAAAGGCGAGGTTACTGGTGTGAACAACAAAGTCAGTTCCACTCCTGTAGCAGTCAAGATGCTAAAAGAGGACGCCACTGACCGGGAGTTGGCCGATTTGATTCAGGAGATGGAAGTGATGAAGATTATTGGCCGCCACATCAATATCATCAACCTTGTTGGCTGCTGTTCACAGGATGGTAAGCAAAATACTTGAAAAATTGTAGCAAACTGTCATTACTTTTAGGCTAATTCCAGTAAAATACTGTAGGTGTTTTTAATATTCGAGTAAAAATTAAGTTTAAATTGTGAAATACAAATATACTGTGAAATACAAATATTTGATCTTTTAGGTCCTCTGCATGTCATTGTTGAATATGCACCCAATGGTAATCTACGGGATTTCTTAAGAAGCAGACGGCCTCCAAACTCTGGGTATGAAAAGCCTCTAATTATCAACGATCCCTCCAAAGAAGACACTAAACCACTGACACACAAACATTTGGTGTCTTTTGCCTATCAAATCTCCAGAGGAATGGAGTATCTGGCTTCAAGACAGGTGAGAAATGTCCCTAGTTTCTAGGATATTCCTAATTTATGAGCAAGCCTTCTTCTTACTAGTTACTAAATAAAAACACATTTGTTAACTTCATGAACTAAAACTGTGTTTACTTTTTTTGTTCCTGTTGGTAAGATAATGTCTTTTAAAGAATTAAAAAGTTATGTTGTGATTCTTTTTCAGTGCATACACAGAGACTTGGCAGCAAGAAATGTCCTAGTGGCTGATGACTTCGTCCTAAAGATTGCAGACTTTGGCCTAACGCGGAATATTCAGAACATTGATTATTACAAGAAGACAACAGATGTAAGTATTTTGGCTAAAGTAGAACTTCTTTGGTATAATAAGGCCTTTGAACAAATATAAGACATGTTTATCTTCAATAGCCAGATATTCTAAGATTTTGTTTGATGTTTATATGTAACATTGTTTTATGATGTCATGATGTATTCCTGTGCTTTTCTAGGGTCGCCTGCCTGTCAAATGGATGGCACCTGAAGCTTTGTTTGACAGAAAATACACTACAAAGAGTGATGTCTGGTCATTTGGGGTGCTACTGTGGGAAGTGTTCACTCTTGGTGGAAACCCCTATCCATCTGTGCCAGTGGAGAAGCTATTTGACCTTCTGAGGGAAGGCCATCGGATGGAGAGACCTCCTTACAGTTCACTAGAGATGTAAGTTGTTTTTATCATTGAAAAAATAGGATTTGTTGTGTTTGTCAGTAGTGGCAATTTGCAAATTGGACGCACCACAAACTTGGAAGATTTTGCAATAGATTTCACTGTTATATTGGATATGTCTTCATCAATCATATGAGTGCCCATTATTACAATAAAACCTAGCAATTTTGGTGAGATTTTGAAGTATGTTTCCTCCTTTATCCACTATATGGTAATGTCTTTCTGTTTAGGTACCAAACTATGCTGGATTGCTGGCAGCAGCACCCTCACCAAAGACCGTCCTTTAAGGAGTTGGTGGAAGACTTGGACAGAATACTTTCCTTGTCACTCAATGAGGTATGGTTTCTTAAAAGTGCTACGTTATATGAATTAACTTAACATTCACTCAATATCTCAGACTTGGCAAAATAAAATAAAAGTAAGATTTGAAATGAAGCAAGATTGAATTGGAGAAGTCTTTGAAATAACATCTTCTCTGCTTGATAACCTGTTAAAAACATAACCGCAACAATCTAAAGTCTAAATTTTTTATTTTACAGGAATACCTCGACTTGGAGCCATTAGAAAGTCCGACAAGTACAATAACCACCACGAACTCTGATTCAAACTATTCAAGCATGTCATCTCCAGATTCCTAATAGGAATCAAACATGCCATACATATAGCTGAACAACCAGTCATGCTATGTGGGTACTTAAACCGGGCTTGTGGGCTCTCATACTGCCAAAGATTATTATTAAACTGGTGCAAAAAGAAAGTACATAAGAGGCATTGAAAAAAATGCAGGGGAATTTTGATTGAACAGAAGTTATTACATACACACACCTGCACAGTACATCCTCATGCCCAGCTTACCAGCATTATCTATGCAATATAGTGGACCAGTCTTCCCAGTTTCCAATGTATCATGATATGGACCACAGGGACAAGAACCCAGGGCAATGCTCTCAGGTCTTGCCCAGTAGATGGAGGACCAGTGAACAGGCAACTCTGCAATAACATGCTGCTACTTGGATAGCAGGTGGTTGGACATTTTTGAAGAGTTTACTTTTATAGTGTCATTCAAGGAATGAATGATTTGTTCAGCAAAAGAGAAAAGGTGGTTTAATTTAACCATCATTTATGAAAGGGTTTACCTTCAGTTTCATTCAATGAAGGAATGAATGAATGATTTATTTACCAAAAGAAAATGGTTAAGTTTAACCACATGTTCACATCTTTATGTATTTAAAGTAATTGGCTTCCAAGTGCAGATGTTGCACGTGGTTGATGGAGGGAATACTTCACATAAGTAATCCCTTATCAGAAAAACGGTACATTTTAAGCAGTTTCCCTGGAGGTGACAACCAAAGAAACAAAAGCCAAAAAATGAATTTCTTTATCATTAAGAATAAACCAGTATGCAACATGAAGAACATTTGAATACAAACTATCCCTGCCAATTAACACAGTTGAGGTCTTGTCTTCCAGCAGCGAACCAGTTGAACAAAATGTATTGTACAGATATTTTATAGAAGCAGTGGTTTTTGTAAACTGTCATTATAATTTTATGACTTTTAATTTTATTGAAAAATGCCTTAGAATAAGAGAGATTTTATATTTTTATCAAATGGCATAGCTGGTACTTAATGGACCTCATAGAACCAATTAACTATGCACTGTTAGCTAGGTTTTAAGTCATAGAAACTTGCACAGGTGTAAGTAACTGTATGCTGAACATATTGTGCTTGGTGCCAAGATTAGTCCCTGTAATTGTATTGTATTATACATCTGTTAGACACAGGCCAAATTGTGGCTACACACCAAGTCTGGTGCTTTTATTTGAGATGTACATTTTGTTTAAGTTAGGACAATAACTTATTGGTCTTTTATTAAGGTTGTTGAAAAAACTGTTGTGTGTAATAAGTAAGCAACAGTGTAGTTGATTTCAACTGTCTCCAAATTTTGTTTTAAGGTTTTGTTAGTTATGTTGAAGCTGCTTTTGCCAGAAGCTTCAACTTCACATTTTCAATTTATAGCAAAGTTGTTGTAGACACCATTTTAACTTACTATTTAAAGACTGCCAGAAATACACCAAGCTTGCCAGAGCAACATATCATGTTGTCGTATTATAAATATTTTGTACATTTTAGTTTTAGTTGCCGTCCTTAAACTTCCATTCTGAGACTGTATGTACTGGCATTAAAATTTTATTTGTGATATGTGAACTGTTTCTTTTAAGTTAGATGAAATTAGTTAATAAGTAAGCTGAATTTTGCTGACTTATAAAAGTACATATCTCTGTATCAATAAATATTATTTCCCTACAGGGCAATATGGTTCTATGTATTTACTATACAGTTTTGAGAGAGGAGCGAGAGCGTTGTAAGTAATGTAAATGATGTGAATAGTAAAGGAACAATAAAACCTTTTAACCTTGATGTCTTTTGTTTGTTAATGTTGAAAGATGTTGGACTATCACAATCAACTGCTCATCTGAAAACATTTCAGTCTCTGGAGTAGAATGGCAATACAGAAAGGCTGTGACAGACCAATGGCATGGTGCTTCCTATTATTAGCACAAGCCAAAGAACAAACTGCCACAGTAATGGTGTACACAATATGATTACCTGGCGCAAATGGTCAGTCACTTACTTAGGACTGGCATGTCTTCCCGTACACTTCAGACGGAAACATCTACATCAGATACTCACATTGGAACAGTTTTATCCTTTTTTTAGTTCTGAATTTCTAAGTACAGTAAATATGGCTTTTGGACATTCCAACACAGTATGCCTTGCGCTATTTACAAAATTTTGTGGTATCAGTAGCAAGAGGAATTCAGTGCTTAACCAGCCAATGGTTGCCAGAAAAAGTGCATCCATTATCATTATTGGTAAAAGTGGCATCATGTTATTTTATTTCCATGTTTTATGTCGTGGGCTGCAGAAAAAAGTTGTACTTGAATAAGAAAGTCATTGCACTACATATCTCAACATTGTGTTGTCATTGTGCTCTTTGGTACAATGTGTTGTTCTAATTGCGTTGGACCTGCTCGTCTCAACTGGTGCAATAGTATGAGACTTATTTACTTGTCAGTACAACTAGGTACTATGTGCCTGGAATTTGAGTTCTTATTTTATACAATTACATCACTGTGCAATATTTATTTTATCTTTAATTCTTAATGGCCCATACAAGTATAAATATTGTTACCACTGCAGGGGTATGGACGCAATGGTGTATGGTAACCCCACTGCCAATACATCCATTACGCTACTGTTCAACTGAAAAATATGTATATATGTTTGCACTGCTAATGTCACTAAGTACAACATAACATAATATTTGGAAACATTAATGGATGTACAGTGCAGGGTACAACACTACAACAGGACACTTATGCAGTTTTAATTCCCTGTTGTTCTCAATTTTAAAATTGTCCATGTCACTGAAACTTGTGAAATCTTTTCATGGGCCATGGTATTTGTATAGAAATATTTTGCCATGTGTATTTCAAAATCATAGGGCATCATGGGTGTATAGAAATTTTGTTTGAAATCTGAGTTCAATAGTACTTCAGATGGATGCAATGTTGTTATGTCCAAGCTCATAACACAATTACAGGGCGTAATGCCTATTTCTGGACAGTTTTTTCCAGACAACTAATAGCAATAGAGGATTAAGCGACTGGTTACTCATAACTCATACAAACAACTGCTGTCTCACAACCATTTTGAACACAGCAAAATCAAGTGTTTTGTCATTAATCCAACATTTTGACATAAAAAGGTATCCTATCTGGAATTTTCCTGCCAAACTGAATGTGTTGTTCGTCATTTTAAGGTCTGAAGAAAGATAATTAGATTTGCAGGATATGTAGACATAGAAAATGACTTTGGAGCATCTTTATATGCAGGAAGTAACCTTTTAGTAGAGGTTTTGGTGTTTTGATGGTGACCAGGTTGACTAACTAGTTATCCTCGTTTTCAAAGCCTCTTGAGTATTACTAAGGTTATTGAATCAGAGGTATCTGGTGAAATAGTGGTAAGTAACAGTGAATAATTTGGGAAACCTAATTTTTATGCATTTTTTGATCCGTTGATATATTTCATCAAACATAACAGAGAAAATAAAACAAATAGTTACAGTACATAAAAATCTTTTATTCATACATAAAATATAAATGTACATTTAAAACAACAAAACAAAATATGAACAAACATTTTCTTTACCCCAAAACAACTGAAATTACGGCGGGAATTATATTTATAGAACCATGATTTTAACATATTTAGCCATGGAAGACTAGAAATAGCTTAACTCAGCTTTAAAACATTATGTACTTAACACTTATCTGAACACAAAGAACAGGAAATTTTATGTTTAACTCTGACTAAAAAACTAATGGTCAAGATTTTTCGTGGTCCTAGTATATCACAAAAATTATCCCTAGTCTATTGGCAAATGACTGTGACCCTGTCACATTGGATTAAAATTAACTACTACCTTCACTGGTAAAAATTCGATTCAGCTTGAACCAAATTTTCATTCATTTCATGCACAAGCACACATCCAAATTGTTAATAAAAAAATTAACCAATGCATCCTCACTTTATACCCCCCCCCCCCCCTCTACAATGAACCCCTGAAAAGAATCTGCCAGATTTAAAGTTTCCCTTTAAACTGGGGTTACACAGTGATAAAAATAATATCAAATCATTTCAAGACAAGCAACCATCTCCCAGACGGTCTGTCAAATCCACTGCTTTGAAATACTATAAAATTGGCTAAGGCAACCATGGGCTAGTCAACATTCACCCATTGGTTTGTGGCTGTAAGTTGTTGACAACTTCTGTGCACTTACACACTTAAACATTATATATACAACTAGCATTCTTTAATATAAACAAAAATAAATTATTTCTTTCAACTAGAAATCTTATGTACAACTTATACACAATTAAGTACATAATATACAAGTGAGATGATTGATAACCGCTTCTGTTCTCTCTGTGTTATATATATATTATCAGCTGCAGTGCTGACAAGGATTCATCTAATTAAGCTGCAGCCAACTAAAGTACCACAGTCTTCTAAAAAATTAACATTTCCTAACTGGTTCAGGTCCTACCTCTGTCAGAGGGCAGCACCTGTTGTGTCTCATGAAGACCAGCTTGGTATTATGCTCATGTTGTCACCACAACACACTGATTGCCACTAAACTAAACAAGTTGCACAGTCATGAACACAATGACACTTCCAAAAAAATCCTTTCAATTCCAGGCTCTCACAGAGAGTCCTTTTTTCTCTCATTTGAACAGAGTCAACTGCTTCTGTACCTTTGCATTTTCTTTTCTTCCAGTCAGTTCAGCTGAGAGAGAGAGAGAGAGTGCCAGTCTTAGTTGTCAGGACTATCTTTAAGACAGCCCATACATCACTTTAACAAAGGTGCAAAGGGCACGGAAGATTTACAATCCCCCATCCACTGACTGACTGCCACTGAGGTAACAAGTGGTAATGGATAATGCTACTGCACTCCGTCTGCCACTAATGCTAGCATCCGTAATGCATGTGCTGATGTTGGTGCTGGTGCACCCTGGGTAAGGACGACAAGTCTGAATACACATCTTGTGGAGAAGTCCTTGCCACAATTTTCTCATTACTGTCTTGCATAGTGTTGCCATTCTGTGGCAGAGGCATGAACTGATGCTTGTCCAGTTTGTGCTGCCTTAAAGTTGTGTTTGGATTATTGCATTTCTTTTTTCTTTGTAAAATGTAAATTGCTATAGCAACAAGAATGATGATGACTGAAGCTGGTAGTGCGATGATGAGAGGAAGTGAGGGGGCTTGTCTTGGTGGTGTTTGTGAGATCACTACATTCTCCTTGATGACTTGATTGGGGGCATTCGGATCTGGAAAAAAAGATTGGAAATACCTCAGTATAAATGCCTCTATCACGATAAAAAAAAATTATCCAATTCCACAAAGCAAATTCAAAGGAGAAAATGTCACCATTTCAAATAATGTTTTTTTAGTGCATAGTAATAAAAGAAACATAACTAAGAAGTATTTAACAATATGCACAAAAAACAAATGACAAAATTTCATACCTGGTACCACAGTGAGGAAGGCACTTCTGAAGCTATAGCCCATACTGTTGGCCCCTAGACATATATACATCCCAGAGTCTTTAACTGTGGCACCCTTAATTATAAGTTTGTTGATATATGACCCATCAGGGCGTGGCCATACTTTGCCCGTTTTCAGTACAATAAACTTTTGTCCCTTGACTTCAATTGTAGTATTAGTATTTTTAAGTGCCTCTGGATTTTCAACTCTTTTTAGCCACTGCAATGGTGAAAGGATAATGTTGAGAAAAATAGAAATCAGAAATTGTATATTTTGTATAACAACCTCTTAACCATTTAACCAGTTAAAATAATCTTGCTGTAATATCTCAATATAACACAAAACTGATTTAGTCTAAAACGTAATCTTCTCAAATCACCAAAAAAAGTTCATCAGTTATTCAAAATATGTTACAGTCTTCAAAGACAGCTGTTGTATATTGTTACCTGTATGTGTGGCTGGACATCACTGCGGACTTTGCACTGAAAAGAGGCAGTTCCACCATGACGCACTGTGGTGTTCAGTGGATGAGGTGGAATCAACTCCGGCTTTTCCTTGATTTTATCTGCAAACATAGAAATCAATTCAGATTCCTTGTTATTTGGTGTTCAACTTGTTGAGTTAAATGGACACAATTTTATCAGCAATTTCAGATTTTAACCAAGATAAAGCTATTTGTTGCCTTAATGCTATTTGTTGCCTATCATGGAAATAAGATCCGTTTTTAAAAAAAAAACTTTTTTTTTTACTGATTTAGGTTTGAATTGGATACACATTTGGGAAACACTGCAAATACCAGTGTTAACATCCAAACAGAATGCATGACGATATGCTGTCTCACCTATCACATCCAGTTCATATGTGTAGTTGATCATCCCAACTTGATTTGTTACTTTACATGTGTACTTTCCACTGTCTTCTTTCTTTAAGTTTCTCAATTTCAAAGTCCATCTTGTCTTCTTTGCATGCCCTATGTCCTCTTCAGTCAGCTCCTTGCTGTCTTTGTACCACAAAATTGTAGGTCTTGGTTTTCCTGAAGCTTTGCACTTAAATCGCACAGAGCTCCCAACAGGGCGCTGGATGTTCTTTCGACGCATTTTACTGGGCTGACTGAATTTTGGTACAGCTACAAAAATAACAAGGAGATATATAGATAAAATTCAGTCTAGTTTGAATTCTGTTTCTACTTTCAAAAGCATCTAAACTGTAAGAGAAATTCAAGGTTACTATCTTTTTGAACGAACAGAAATAATTTATTCAAATGCAAAGTAACTCACTTCCTGTGTGGTGGCCATGTCCAAACTCAGAATACATATCTGTCCCAGTAAAAGATTCATTTCTAAATTCTGAAAAGAGAAGAAAATAATACAATGATGCCGCTGATTTTTTAATTTGTCTCATAGATGGCAGCAGAGTGCAGCCCATTAGCCCATCAATAGCTGTCACTTATCAGAACATGAGTTACACAAAATACTGACATTTGTACACATAAGTGCATGCCTGCTGCCAAAATTTGTCATGATTTAATGGCTCTGCTTAAAGTCAAACAAATGGAGGAGAGATATGAAAAAAAGCTCAGGAATCAAGGAAAAAAACTTTGAAGCTTAGAGTAAAGCAGGGGAAGGGGAGGAAAATGTAATGATTTTTCCTCATGTCACATTCCCTATCACACTGCCACATTACCACAGGCAGTAGAACAGTTCCTGTTGCCAGAAATGCCATGATCATCACCAGATATGAAAATTACTCTTTTTATCCATAATAAACACATTTGAGGCTAGATTAAAAGGTCGAGGTCTGCCATAAATTTGCAATTTGACATGTGTTTTAGCTGTCAAACCTACTGAAAACTGGATGCAATGTTTAGACAACACAGTCTGTCAGTGCAATGAGTGTTGGTTAAATGCCTTTTTTCCTCCTTATTCAACCAAAGAAAAAAATGTGAGAATTGGATTTGGCATTTTGAAAGGGGTGGTCTCGCATGGGTCCCTGCAAGTGAAGCAGTGACTGCTCAGACTAAATGTTGTGGATCCAGCATCGCTAGCAACATGCAATCCTATGACACCACAGATGTTTTTTATCAGACTGCATCAACAGTATCTGACCAACAGCCTCGTTTTTTAGCTGACTGGTACAATTTGCTCTCCCTCTTGCAGATTTATAATGCTGATAACAACCCCATCTAGCCAAGAAACACAGCAAGCCATGTACTTTTCAAATTCTTAAAATACTGGATATGATCTTAATGGCATCCTTGCATGTGAGAAGTTTCCATCTACTATATAATGGGTTCAGTGTGGGTTGCTAGGGTCCCCACACAGTGCGCCCGAGATGGGATCCACCTGTACTCCATACTAAGACATCACAGGGAGGAGATCATTAAATAATAAGAATGAAATTAAAGACCAAATGACACATGTGATGCACGTGAAGAGTGAAAAAGAGGACCAGTTCAGTCAAAGACAGTTGGATCTGTAAATATAACTGGAGTGGGTGACATGTGCTAATCTCATATCAGCTGTCTATCAAGCCAGTGGTGACCACTCAAATTAAAACAACACCCATATTGTAGTTTTACAATATTTCTTATTACATAATCTTATTAAGACTGCCCTTCCCGCTTGGCAAATTTTGTCTGTCAGCTCTGGCTGCTTCAGACATCAACTGTTGTCTCATGGAACAAGCTGGCACTGACAAGAATTTCAGTTTCAAACCCAAACACTTGAGCCAAGGAGTCAGTCAATGCTCAGGGGTGACCTGTAATTTTCCAGCTGACAGTCTAGGGCGCAGCTCACATTTTCTGCCTTACTGACTTGATAGTTTTTAAAACTTGGGTCAATTTGCAATCTCCCAAAGGTTACCCTGCTGTTTCTACTGAACACTCTTGACTGATAGTTTACAAACTCTGCCCTGACAATTTGTAGCATGTCCATCAGCACCCCAGCTTTGAACTAAAAGCCCACCACCAAGGGTAAGACATTTCTTTTGAGGACAAAAAAAATCACAGCTAAATGGCATCCCAATAACATCGCAGAATAAAACTACTCACTAGAAGTCCTAAAAGACTTTGCTTCTAACAGATAGATATGCTTCCTCTTTAGAAAGTTTGATTCTAAGCAAAAGTGACTTAAACATTTTGCCCTTGCAGAGGCCTCATGTGATGCAGCTTCTGACTATCTAGACCTTGCAATCTAATGTGGCACATTGAGCAGCTGAAACTTGTCCTATAAAATGCCTGACTGCCACTGGATGTAACTGAAGAATTAGTCTGGCATTCCCTTACCAAATGTCTTAAGTTTTAGCATCATCCCCCATTGGCCCGAAGAAAACTTTATCATGAACTTGTGTTTTTAATGCTCCATAAATCACTGGTAGAAAAAGACTAGGTAGGTACACTTGGACGACATACAATAAATTGAGGGTGATGCTTATTGAACATTAACAACTATCCAATAACAATAAATGTGTGTTTTATAGACTCTTTCAACACCCTATTAACTGAAGAGTTGAGCTTGAGCCATTTTATTGGTTTCATGTTAGGGGGATTTAAATTCAATTGTCATTTGAAAGTTAAGCTGATGATGTGAGTTGTCAAGTAATTTAAACATTTTTGCTGCGTTGTCAACTGGTTTAGATTAGATGCAAGCCAATCATCATGAAGACACAACTGTCAGTTACAAGGCAGCCAGTTTTGCAGCCTCATGAGTATAAATGTCCCTCAAACATTTTTGAATTTTTACTTAATAACATAGGCAATGATGTGCACTAAATTCAATATGAGACAAGAACTTTTTCATGGAATGCAGAATTTCACCTTTAAATTACTAATCTAACAGTAGGTATTCATAATGGTTTATTCACCCAATGTGCATATATATATATTATAAAATGCTCATAAAACAGATTACAACTTTTAAATCTTATTTTGTAATTTTTGCAACTTTATAAATATAAATATTTTAGTTGTATTCACTTACCCATCACAACAAGAGTTATATTGACCATCCTGCTCCCAAACCCATTTGTGGCTTTGCATATGTAGTTTCCAGCGTCCTCTTTCATTACATCCTGAATTTTCAGAAAGTTCTTGGTCATCTTAAATCTCTCCCATCCTGCATGTATCAGTTCCTTATCTTTGCTCCATTGTAATAATAAAGGTGGGGGGTCTGCAGTTACTGGGCAGATTATTTTAACAGTCTTCCCCTCACGTATGAACTGGCGGCTCTTGATAGGAAATACTATTCGTGGAGGGCCTGAAGTAAAATAGTAATAAGTATATTAATTCAAATGTACAAATAGGTTTGATGAAAAAGCATTGCATTTTGCCACATCAAAAATGTTCCACTTGTTTTCACATGGAAACAACTCAATACACGACCAATGATGTATGATGCTATCAAGAATATTTGTTACAATAACTTTTCCGCCTCTTCCTGCACACAGATAAAGTGGGCTGATTATTCAGGTTGGGTTTCAAAGCAGGAATAGGCCTTCCATATTGTGTTGGGAGCTACGGGTCAGCGGTGACACGTTCACCTGCCAGGGAACCGGAGGTGTGCCTTTGTTCACTGACAAGCTTTGCTCAACACAGCAGATTTATAGCATGTCAACTTCTCTACAGCACATTTAAGTCAGTTAACAAAAAATGCACCACAGTTCCCCACTTGATATGAATGTGGTACAACAGCTTAATCACTGTAGCACAAGCAACCAGTATTTAGCACAATATCTACCTTGAGGGGTACCTTCATTTATTTTTAACAGCTTATGGCTCATTTTCACTGATCAAAAACAAAAATACACCTGCAGAATTCTCCTGATGAGTTAACTCCCATTTCCAGCTGATTTCCAGTACTTTTTACACAGTTATCCATGACTGCAGCTGAATGAATCACCTGTCTTTTTACCCATATCAATTTGCCAACAGAAAACATATGAACAATGGGGTCAAATGAGTACCAGTAAAATATGTATTCTAGTGATGAATAAAAAACCAACGGAGACAAACAGTTTTTTTTTCCTTGACCTACTTTACAAACATGAGGAGAAGTACCTTGCTATATCTATACATGTCTTTTTGAAGAGCTGATGAATTCTCATGTGAACCTTGCCTCTACTGGCCTTTGTGTCAATTCAATAGGGAATGCACGTGTAGAAGCCCATCAAGCAGCAGGGCCCATTCAATAGACCTGGTACTTGCCCCATTTTTTCCCAAAGCAAATATTGACTTTTCCTGACATGTTGGTTTTATAATAAACATGTTGGCAAATACTTCAAATGGCAAAGGGTACGGGTGACTTTCTGCGATAAAGCCTTCACCATAATACAACAATTATGTTTGCGCAGATTGTATCCACAATTAGAATGGAACAGTGCACAAATAATTCAAATCGTCTATAAAACGTGACCTAGCCTTTATGCTGCATACAAAAACAAATTGATGTGTTCATTTAAGCTGTTCTACTGATGTTTCCAGGTAATATCATGTTTTACAGCAGATCTACTATTGAAATGATCTTTTTTTCAGCTGACAACTTCCATTTATGTCTGAAGGTAAAAAAGAACGCCTAGGATAAACAGTTTCCCTCAAAGACTGCCAGGTTTTTCAGGTTTCAGCTAGCCAATTTTGGTTTCCAGGGAGACAGGGCACTGATATCAATCAGACTTGAACAGGATGTTTTAAGATAGTAGTGGCTTCATTTACTTATGTCATTTGGATAAATAAATAGCCTCTCCCCCCTGCAGTATGGAAAACCTTTAGAGCATGTGAAGCCTGTAAAATGAACTGGAGTGGAATGCATTTATCACATGTAAACCAAGCTCCATCTATTTGGTCCTAACCTCTACTAATTTACCACTCATTAACTCCATCAGATCATATTTGTTATTGAAGCAAAGCTGCAAGATCTGGCCCTCTGTAGCTGACATTTCAATTGGGATCCTTGATAATTGGAAATGGCTGGCTTGTAATAAAAACATTAGTCCCACATTGCCATTCAAAAAGTACGAACACCCTTCAGAAATAAGGCAAAAATCAAGATCAGAATTAAGTGGCATGTTTTGTGGCCTTTCCTAAGAAACTGTGGTGCTAAGTTGGTGATAAATTGCAGATGGTGGCATACTGATCCATTCACAATGGTTTCAACAAAATTAGGGGCTGACAGATAGATGTGTTTAACCCTTTATCACTCACACTGATTTTGCTATAAATTTTGACTAAATTGACACACCTCAGCTTATTTGCAAAGACAAAAATATCATAATAATTACCCCATGGACAAATGAAAGCACACAGGGTTTTTAAGCGTATTTCTTTTCACTTCTGCATCAAATTCCACAGGTGTGCCAGAATTTCAGTCTACCACAGGCTGAAAAATCACAGCACACAAAGTGATAGAGACAACTTAATTGCAAATATATCCTAGACCAGTTACATAATGTTAACTCAACTTAGTGACCAAAGTTAAATATTTCTCTCCAGTGAAAAGGTCCTATTCAGTATTGGTCTGATAAAGGGCAGCATTTGAGGAAAATACTTCATTTCATGCCAGACTACCCAAAATACAGCTATGTGATTATGTCATGAATTGGTTTCAGATTTGATTTCAAAGCTGGTCACCTCCCTGTTTATCCTGATCAGGGCACTAGTAATAAGCCTTTTTAGTGGGACCCTGTATTAACAAGATGGCACATTCATAACTTGGCACCATAATGTGACCAAGGACACAGACTCAGGGCTCCAGGTAGCTTAAATGGGCACCTAGTATGTAATCAGTTTTGACAGAACTTTCTCAGCTCACCTGAGAACAAACAGGCCTGGCCTGCCATGACATAACAAGTGGCAAGAGTACTTTTCCTGCTGACTGCCTTAATATAAATAGAACATTTTCTCAAGTGGAGCTGGGGTTTGTTGAAGACTCGGCACCAATTACTATGGTAAACACATCTGTATGTTTTACCCCAAGCCTACACCCCACCTGCCACTTTTCTCCTAAATACTTGGTGCAAAACTTTGAGTTGTATGAATATTTCAGCTTCTACATCAAACTCTTAGCAAATTTCTTAATATTAAAAAATTCCCAATGGTATCAGCAAAAACCTTCCATTTTGGCTGCCCTTAAAAACAGTAATGAAATTTTCCATCTGTGAAGTACAATAAACTGTGAGATTTGAAAAAGGTTTTGGATGGCATGTCAGTACAAGTTATGAAGCGTTTGATCTTCAAAATCAAATCAACATAATCAAAGCTAGGACTGAGCAGCTTGAGTGCCGACAAAGGTAGTATTATCCTCCAGCACAAAAGGACTGTGGAAGCCTAAAAGCCTCTCATCCTCCAACACAATCAACTGTCCTCATTTGGGACTTCTAGATGGGTAATTTTGGTCTGTACATTTTAAATTAGACATCTTCCATTCATTTAACTCCAAGCTTTTTTCTCTTTTTTACACACAAATTGAAAATTTGTAAATCTGCGAAGACTATACTAATTTACCCTGAGAAATTAATCTTTATTTTGCAAAAATTGTAGATTTTTTTTTTTCATGTTTGGAGATACATTCCTGACATCATGCAAGTACTATACTGAGTACTTAAAATTAAGGTCAAGGCCCTCTTTTTAAAATAATAGTTAAAAGAAAAACATATTTCAAAATTTTGGGGAAGAGTAGGGATGGTACCATCATATCATCATGTACCTAATAATCCCAAATCCAAAGATAGCTGTAGCAGGCATTACATCTCACAAATAGTGGCATTAATATTGTTCCTTATCTGTCAAATAAGCTGCAAGTGCTAAGAGACAGTTAGCAAGGACAGGAAATGTTTGTTTTAATCAACTTACCTATGCCTGCTGAACATAGCTGGGTCAGTAACCACGCAAATATGAAGGCGCAAAGGCTGACACTACTCATCTCCACGTCTCACACCTGAAATAGAGAAGCACAGCCATGATTATCAACGGGATCCATTTAGTGAAAATGAATACTCTCCATGGACCAACTCCATTAAATATGTCCTGTGTTAACAAACGCAGCACACACATGGCAAACACTACCATTTTTCCGCAATATTTCAAATGACACCATTCAACTGTTGACATTCTACACAAAAAGCTTTCTGCTGATAATCAGCACTATGTACAATCATTCTGAAATGTCACTGCTGTTAGGCAAACACAAAAATGGTAGCTGCAATTTAAAATATTGAAAAAAAAGAGAAAAACAAGTCTTGCTTTTAGCATTATAGATCATGGTGTTATCTCTAAATTACCTTGTGTTGACTAAAAAGTCATACATCCTTTAATTGAAACTCGCTTTGATACAAAGTAGCTAAACCTTGCAGCACCCATCAAGATTTCAGACAGTGTAGTCTCCATGCTGTCCCCACCTCCCAAACTGCCCTTAGGAATGTGGCACGGTTGCTTTACATGAAAGCCCAGTCATTCCATGACAAAAACAATCCTCAAGCATAGGACGACACCTAGACTATGAACCTGAATATTCCAATGACAGTCCCCAGTGTAGTTAAGCACACGTTCTTCACAGATGTATTTACTCAGTGCACTAACAGGCAGCTGCAACGACTTCCAAATTCGATGACGAAGCCGCCTTCTACCTGCTTAAAGATACAGTGGCGTAAACTAGACGTCCCAGTGCAATTCAAAGAAAATAATTATGTATTTAAACTGCCTCAATACCTTTTGAAAAGCGATTCTTGTCTAAAGAAAGGCGACCTCTCATTTTCATGTCAAACTTCTGAGCTGCCGTATACAATAACTCCACACACAAACGAGATGCGAAAGGTAGTAGTAATTGCCTCTGATTATACTCTTGTCTACCGACTTGGAAGCCTACAGTAGATCTACAGTACGCTGAAAGGTCGACCATTCCTCACGCGGGAAAGACAACTGATAATATCCATGAGAGCACCCATTTATAAACGTACAGATTAAATATCGCCAAGCCTCCACTTCTATTCATTAGTGTTGACGACTATGTTTACAAGAAAAGAATGCAAAGTGTAAAGGTTTACCATGCAATATTCTGTGCGTCTTCCATACTGCTCAAACGTCAACTGTTTAATAGCATGCACGCATGGAACGCATTTCTAAATATGGATATTTTTTCACAAAGTTGCCACATTTCTTGTCATTTCTAACCAAATACAAAGATGTGCCTTTTTTGACGTAACTAAAATAAGAACAAAGCCTAGGAGCATAAACGAATACGTTATATAACATATACCCAAAATTAACCTGGCACCCCTACCCCATTAAATGAGCATGACCCTACATGACACTGCCGACCCCTGTGGAGAAATACATGATACTCGATATATATATATGATTTATAAATGTGCGGGGGAATACCAACAAAAAGGTTATTGAACCATTCAGTTTACCACGTTTATCACTTAACAGCGAAAGTAAACTATGTTGGCAACATTAACTCGCCCATTTTAGACAACATTTAATTTTAGCCGTCTAATCTCGTGCAGCCCGTGTCACCTGCCAGTCCTCATTAGGCAACATTTTTGTTGACCGATTACATGGCACATATTTACGGATTTGACTCTGCGCGGTGCATGTCACCACGTATTACACAACGTAGTGGAATGAACGCAAAGCATGTGATAAGCAGCTCTATGCTGCTGGGAGGCCACGGCAATCCGTCGGACAATTTCACAGTTTACTCAGTTTCAACTGAGTGTGACTGTCAGTCAAATAAATGAATTGACCAGTAGACTGCAAACCGCTAGTGCTCAAACGCCATTCACACGTCGCCCAAACATCGACTATTCTGATATAGTAGAAAAATGATTTTTGTGCGCAGTTAAACGGATCCTAATAGAATTTTTTTTTGGCGAATTTCATGAAATAATGACAAATTGATGTTTACACATAAACAATTAAAGCAACAAACCAAAACTGTTGTTCACTTTTATAGAGTTTTTCATTCAAACACCATTTCTAAGTTTTAATGCAATAATCCAACTGTAAGTATATTTGCTCTGTTTCTTGTGGATTTTGCTTTAAAAGCCCATTTAGAGTTTATGAACTGGAACATTACAGAGAATTTGGTGTGTCTTCTTAAATGTGTTTCTCCAGTATTTCACCCTGAAATTAATTCCACTGTTTACAAATTGGGCTGTTAACATAAATTTATAAACCAATGTACCTGTAAACTGAGTCACCTCAAATAAGCATGCAGTTGATAAAACTCACTAACACAAGTTTTGACTACCTTATACTGGAATTTATCCAGTGCATGTGCTTATCTTTCACTCTACATTGTACACCATGGGAAATTCAGTTGTTTAGAAGAATGGGATTAAATCTCATTTGATTTCTCCACACATACACTTTCAGAAAATGTAGCTGTTGATGTCAAACTTTTTGGGGGTAAACCTGACAGGACTTGTCTAAAGGAAAACTTCACTAAAATGTGAAAGTGTTTTGGTAAAACATCGACATTAGTCATGTTGTTGACAAAAACTTTAAATTTAAAGAAAAAAATTCAGTGTACCTTAGTCATTATGTTTTTTAAGGTAATAATAAAGTCATCTACTACTAATTGCTACATGCTTCTGAATACCAAACTGACATGAAAAATGCAAATGGAATGTTTCTGAAATCATAACTTATAAGATAAAAACTTTCGAAAACCACCTGTCATCTCAACTAAATGACTCCTTTTTAATGGGTATAACAGAAAAAACTCTACCTTATTGGATTTCAGACTTAACTCATTCTTTGCTGCTCTTGTTCAACCACTGATTGAGAAAAGGCTATTTGACAGATGATTGAAGTATGCTGCCATCACCCTATGTTAATCTCATGTAAGCACACCTGTGCTAACCTTTAACAAACTGTTAGCAAAGAAATCAACCTAGGACAAAATAAGCTGCAAATAAGGGGGAACCCGGCCTACATGTAAACACTTACACCGTGTCATTTAATGCAGTCACACAATAGTTGCTTTTACTTCTACCTACATCCAAGTCACATATAAGAAAACATAGGATAAGGTACACTGCTAAAAGCAGGTATCAAATCTCATGAAACATACTCCGAAATACTGGAGATCAAAGGAAAACCACTAAGCATGAGCATTTCTTTTAACTTTCGAAAACAATACTGGCAAAAGGTGCTCCTTAAATCAGCAAACAGAACCTGCTCTAACAAAGAAAAGGAAGAAGGAACTGAAATGAATTAAAATGGTTAAACTATAGATTAAAATTGTCCAAAAAGCAGATTGACCACATGTCCTGCAGACTACAAATCTGAAATTATTTTTTTTCAGTCTAGTTTAGTTTTTACTTTAAATAACATACTACACATGTACAAAAAATTACCTAAGCACAATTTTATGTAAGATGTTTCTGAAATCACGATTCTTCGTTTCAGTGCTTTTTCTCAACAAAGTCAAACAGTTCCACTTCATGTTCTTGAACCCATGATCAAAACCAAATTTTCACAACACATCAAAGTCAAAAACGTGAGGCAGAAAATGCAAATGGATGTCCCGAAAAGAGAGGTGTCTTGGCATCTTTCCTTGGCGTCTTGTTGTGTCAGTATGAAGAAAGGCAAAGGATGAGGTAAGGAACAGCTTCAGGCAACTGCTTTAACTTTCTTGACCTAGGTGTTTGCTAAAGAATGTGATCAGTCTCCTGGACAGAATATAGCTCAGAGCAAATCTGCCAGCATAAGTAAATTTGTGTAAAATATCCCACCCCTCTCACCAATTTCATTACAGTAGCCAAATGGTTTGATGATTGCATTGTTTCAAACTTGAAAAAAAAAATAATGGAATCTCTATCTCTGCTTTTTTTATAAATTTGAAAAGTTATGTTGAGTTCTAATGGTTTACAAAACTTTGCATTGGAGTTCAATATTTGTAATTTTTAAGCATGGTACAAAATATATACAAGCATGCAAAATATGTTCAAATCCTACCTTAAAAACTTTTCTTTACTGTACAATCAGCTTGCCCATGAGCCCAAGTTAGTGTGTAGTTCCGCAGCTCTGTACTAATCACTATAAAGTGTGGTTCTCTCCATGCAGAATGCCATAGCTCTATGAATTCTTGGTAGAGACACAAATTAGAAGAGCCCCTAAACCTAAATGCAGTCACTTCCCTTAGTGGGAGATTATTTACCTAGGCAGTATGGGATGTTATTACATAAGGCCTTTTACCAGCATGGGCCAAAACAGGAGGCTCAGGTACAGAGATTTTAATGGCATCTTTCTCAGTAAAGAAAACACAAATATCCCTCAGCCCATGCTAGGGTTGCTGAGGTGTCAGGAACTGCCAGGAAATTTATGACACTCCTTGTGATGAAGGGCCCTGTGATTTCTAAATCAACTTTGCTGATAAGCAGGGCCCTACCTGCAGTGCAAATTAAACAATATTGCACACAATACGATGAGACCCTACCACTGATTACAGAGATCTAAATGTACCAAACTCATTGCTTGGGTTTTATTTAACAATTTGAACTCATAGTGGTATACAAGAGACTATTCACTGTAAAAACGATTTATTTGGGTTGATGAAAATGTAACATTAAATTGTCATGATCAGTTTCAATTGGCTGATTACGGAAAGCAATTCATCTAACTTAAATGCTTCTGTGAACCATTTTTTAAAAATCAAATGAATGACTAATCTTTAAATACACACAGACAAATATCCTTAAATTTCCGTAAAAAAACTGAAAAAAATTAAAAAAGAAAAACTGTCTTCATGGCTGACATTTTAAATTTTAAATCTTTTCCAGCTTTAAAATAAATGTCAAACAAGGAACACAAAACTTTTTTAAAGAATGACATAAGTGGAACTATATACTTGACATTAAATTATGACAATTTCAAAACTAAGATTATCTGATGAAAAATATATGATATGCTGCATGACTCACAAAACGTACCAAATTATTAAATGTCAATGTCTGCTTTCCTCTGGGCTCGAGACTCTTGAAGTGCCAACTTTGAATAAAATACTCCTTACTGTTAACAGGCTGTGATAAATAATTAAGTTTCAGGGAAATGCAATCAGTGCCTATCAGAAAGAATTTATTGAATTTTCCATTTGCTTCTCTTAAACAGGATTTCTGAAGGGCCCCATCCAAATGCCTGTGTATTGATTGTACCATATTGTCACTTAATTACCAGGGGCTGATAATAAGATGTAATAGTCATCTGGGGAGACACACTACTCAAATGGCTGCCAAAATGCCCTTTCAGAACAGTAATTCTGGTTTTACTTAGGAGCCTGGGAAAACAGGATGAGTTGGCCCCTTCTATAGCAAGATGTAATGCTCCCAAACTGTGATGCTTGTCAGTCATTCGTCAGACATCTATTCAATTATGTTCTTGTTTTTGCAAATCAGAGAGGCATAGTGCAAGATAAGGGCAAGGGGCGCCAATACTGCATCCACTGTGTGGTCTATGAAGATAAAGCAGTGTGCAGCAATTTTTGGAAGATCTCTTCATTAAGACCTGTAATCTAAACCATGACAGAATAACAAGATGGCAGCTGTCTTTCAAAATGCCTGGTTGTGTTTGAAAAGGATGTTTTTTGTTTGCTTCCAAACTCAGAAAAATATTATTTTATCCTAAAAAAGAAAATCTCAAGTTTTTCACTCTTTGAACAGTCTGAGTGTTCTGATCTTTTTTTAAACAACTAAATAACTTATTATACAACTTTTTTGTCAACTAAATAACCTTTTTGAAAGCATGAAATAAAATGCTTCCATTGAACATTTACAAATTTAAATTCAGTCAGAAACAGTTAAAAACTAGATAAATTATCTTTATTTCTTTCTCGATTAAATACTTGAAAGTTCAATTCAATCAAACAATATAAGATATATAGAGGAATCCTCTATAAAATGAATGCTACTTGAAAAAAATTATGTTTTCCATTCCATCCCAAAACCCCATTATCTTTTCATAACCACACCCTGCTTTTACTGATAAACTAAAGTATTTCAGTTCTTACAGCTTTTTAAAATACTGAATTTTATCATTAAAGGTGTACTTAAAATGATGGAGATTTGCTTTTTTCGCAGAAACCTGGAACAGTTCCATCCACGTTGAGTAAGTTTTTTTACAAAAAAGAAGGAAACCATATGGGAAGATGGAAAACACTTTTCTAAGGATGCGATTTCATTTTTGGCAAATTAAGATAGAGACCACATTAAAGTCTTCAGGCATATAGACAGTTGAAGGGATGCAGGCAATCTAACATAAGCCTACTCTTTAGGAAATTAATCCTGCAGTGAGAGCACCTAAGAAAACATACAATACCAAAGCACAGCCATTTTTACCAAGAACTTGGTGATGCCATACAACACTAAAATATTTATCCTATAGCCAGCTATTCTTGAAACCACTTAAGTAATTTCATACTCTTTTAAAGTAACCTGTTAAATTAAAAAGCCATCCACCCATAAAAGATTATGGTACAGTAAATAACAAAATAAAATTTCCTGAGTGTTGTACATTTTGATGCAGGTTCATTTCCAGCAAAGGATGAAATTTCAAGGTTCTCAAGTTGGGCCTAACATCCCTCTTTTCGCCTCCACTGATTGACTTTTATTGGTAAAAGCAGGAAATTAAGAACTTCATGGAGGTCTGGAGATGCTCAACACTGTCCATCCACAAATGTAAGTCATAGACTCTTCTAGATGTCACATCAAACATATTTTCCAACATAATTCAAAAATTGATATCATCTATTCTTTTAAGAGGAGATATATTAATACTGGATTCTGCTTCAGAATCACTAAAGTGAACAAAAGGTGTAAGGCTGATATGAAGTTAGCATCCTCTTAACGGTAAATCAACAAAGGTGAAATGAGCTGTGTATTTGCCTACTGAAATCTCAATTCAGAATCTATCAACAAAGGGATGCTAATGGAATGGCTTTGTTTACCTCCTGGAGGTGGCTTTCATTTCCCCACAAATTTATTTCTCTGTGATATTTGTCAGCTATAGATCTTACAAGGTGGGAAATCACATGTGATATCCTGCCGGAGTTGATTCAATATCTATATATACATGTAAGCTTAAAATATGTGCTCAGTACCTGACCACATCACATCCTATTACAACCATGTCATTAATCATAAGACAATAATACCAAGATCTCACATATGATAAGCTATGATGACCCATTACCACTACCTGACAGTCTTAGCCTAATGACTTTCCATCACTGTCCACAAAATACTGGAGTACAAGTGACCATTACTTATATGTATGTTTCACGGGTCATCCAAGGTCCAACATAATTACAATTAGCATAAGTATAATCCCATGGGATTAGTTGTGCTGTGGACAACCCAAGCAAAGACTATATTACTTCTCAGTGTAAGAATGATGACACATACTTACCTGAATCACATACAAAATTATCTAGCTGCTCACAAGGGCAGGCCGCTGCTATATGACTCCACTGTAGCTGTGGCCAGGATAAATTCTGGAGGGAAAAGGAAAAAAAGATAAACTGAGATCAAACGGTGCTTACAGTAAGGACGCAATACATGTAGAATAGGGCCTCTCTGGGTACTGAGATCAAATTAGTTGCTTTGAGCTCCAAGATAAACACCTTTGTTTGGCCATTTGCTTAGTGCCTTAGTTTGGCGCTACAGCACCAGCTATTGGTCCAACAGAAGAGAGCCTAGATAAACACAGATCAAATTCCCATTAAAAGCTATTAGTCCTCCAATACAGGACCAAAGTTGTGACAGAGGAACAATGACAAAAATCAATAAAGGGGACTATTATATCTCAATCTGCTTCATTAGCATAGAGGCCTAATGCCCCGCCCCAGGAGTTTCCCCCCTGACCCTGCTATAGTCCTCAATGAGCAATTAGTTCCAAGCTTTACCTACTGCTGAGTGGGCTTTTAATACCTGGTTTCACCTTTTCCCGCCTTGTCACACCTGTACAAAATTACCACCAACAACGATGGCATCAGGTGAAAATCACACACTTTCGTGTGACTGACAATTATATTTCAAAGTGTTAACATTCACAAACTGGTCCTTTTACATAAAAGCATACAGTTACTAGGACATGTTCATGTGATGAAGCAGAAATATCTAAATCTTTATGAAAATGATGGTTCATTTTTTCTTTAGGTTGACCGCTAAGGTAGCAATAGCTTTAAAATCATTAAAATCTTGCCTTTGCTCAACAACTTTAAGCTGTTTCCGATTATCTGATTTATTTCCCACAAACCAGTTGAGGGAAATTAATCTTCCTCATTCAATAAAAAAGAAAAAGACGGTATCCTTTTGATGATAACTGTAAACCACAAATCAAATAATATACCTCATTTTCAAATTTCATCAATATAACAGTATTAAACCTGAAATCAATTGTTTTAAATTAAATCTCAAAAAAACTGCTGTCAAATTAATCACAGGAAAACTAAAGAACATTTCCTTAAACTCCAGTTTCTCCATGTACCTGATTCTCTTCAAATCTTCTTTAACTGAACAGGAGTCTTTGCTCTGATTTAAGCGCCCTTTGCCACTGCATCCGTTAACAGATTTGGCAAACATTTCACTTTCACATGCATAAGAGTGTCTGCAAAGTTATCATAACATTGATGCTCTATAAAAGGTTCACTTTTCTCTCTCAAAAGTACTGCATTCAATAGAGATGTTGACTTAATTCAGGTAAATATGACACAATGCAAACATATCTTTCTGTGCATTGATCAAATACGAAATAGCGGGTCCTATTTAGAGGGGACATCCATCAAATATTTAACACTTTTTAACCTATGTCACTGTTAGCATTTTGGTTTGCAATAAATGTCAATCTGCCATTAAAACTGACATTAAGAATAGTAAACACAGCTTAATTCACTCACATTTCCCTTCTGAATCCAATAACTTTTTATTGAATAATCCAAAGAGCTTGCAAAATGTAAGTTCCTATGTTAATATTCCAGGCACTGTTGTGTTTAAAACAATAGGATGAATAATTGATGTATCTCCACTATATCCTCATCATTCACGCACACCTAGGAGTAGCTTCCGTATTTGAATGTAGAAATCAATCCCTGCCCTGTCTGTTTGACGGCAATTTCAATACTGTACAATCTACCACGGCTGCTACTTCTCACGACTGACTCCAAACTGCACAAAGCTTAGTATATCTGTGACAAACATTTGGCTAAGTATCTCACAACACCTGGAATAACCTTCCATCACATAGTTATGACAGTTTTCTTTCCTGAATCATGATCCTACCTCTCACACAATAAAAATATATCTATTTGGGGCCCTTCACCTGCATAAAAAGTCTTTAACCATGTAGAAGGGCTCTGTATTGTTTTAACAGGGCCAGAAACATGAAAATATGGCCTTGAGGTACCATCCTAATTACCAGGTGAAGAGAATAGTCAAATTAGACCTTATATGGAAATGTCAAAATGTCACAAGCATAACATGACCCAGAGATGATTTATGATTGGACAAAGAAAGCATATCAATTTATATATCACTTCAAAGACAAATTACTAGTATGGCTGGCTCTGCATGAATAATATACACATAAATTGGTATTGTTATTCGAAAGCCTAGTATACCTATGCATGTGAAATTACTGCCCTTACAGTCTGAAGACCTAACCCCATAGCTTACCTGAATGCTTTTGCACACTGCAGTTTTTAAACAACTCAATTTTCTTGTCACCAACACAACAGAAATTAGAAGCCTTTTTTTACTTACAACAGCTGAAGTTTGTTCCGTAAGGAATTGTAATCTCCAATATGTGTTTTTTTAGCCTAAGGCTATAAATTTTCTTCTAATCATTGTCATCATGGGCTGTGCACAGTGCAGTATCATCGGTATTGTTCCTAACAATTATGTTGCATTTGCCCAATCCAATTTAACCATACTGCATTATTCTGGTCCATGTAACACAAAAGGCTGCCACCAAAAACTGCCATCATATCATAAGCTCAGCCACTTTTATCTTTATTTTGTTACAGGAACCAAGTATCATAATGCAATATTTACCAAAAAAATCTTCACACAAGACTTCAGTAATTGCAACACGTAAGGAATGTTTTCATAAAACCTTTCACATAGCAGGGTATAAACTAAAATGAATGAACACCTTGAGAAAAAAGACACGCCAATAAATATTAATGAAAAGAAAAAGCTTTTCATGATCCTATATAAGTCTCTGAAAGAAATAGTTGTGTTGCACACTTAAAGCAAAGCTCAAACGTGAGCAAATCTGATTTCTCACCTTTACTAACAGGTAGCACATTTCAATCCAACTCACACTTAATTCCCATTAGCATTCAACTTGTTTGTCGGTTTCAAGAACAAATTACAAACAGCGTGGAGCACAAAATGATTTTTAAACACCAAATTCCTGTGAAGCAGCGGATAAATGACTTTCATTAATTTTCAAGGGATGCAATTTTATTGTAAGGTGCATTAAATGCTCCTGGTGTGGTAGAATTACAAAGCCAATCAATAACCTGCAGCTTACTTAGTACAATTCTATCGAGGGGCACCCATGTACATGGACCTGATTTCAATAAGTGTGCAAACACTGCCTATCTAAATCTGCCTGTTGATCAATGTAGTGAGGGTAACCCTTGGCCTTACGTGCCAACTTGACAATCACACTGAAACATTTGTCTATGTAGCAGCTGGTGGCACAGGAATGACATTCTAATAAAGCAAAAATTATCATCGTTGTTGTAGGTGGGTCATATGGCTTGAGATTTAAGTGCTATAAATTGACCAGAACCAATTTTGTTATAAAATCATACATTTAAAAAATGCTTTTGTTGTTAGGTTTTTTATTCTATTCCAACTTTTGACAAAAAAATCCAAAATTGAACAAACACACTTCAATAATCACATTAAAATATGTGAAGAACCTTTACAACTGCTGTATAATCCAAATCATATATAAATCTTTCTATAACACAGTTAATATTTATACAAATGTAATTCTTTTTTGAATGGTTCACCTGCACATGATTTCCATCTATCTAATAGGAAAATTCACAGTAACTTAACTGACAAGCACAGGAGAAAAAACAGTTTATTAAAGTACCCTATGAATATTCTTCAAAATTTCATAATAAATTTTCACAATATGTTCTTTAGTTCTTTGTAAAGAAATCAACTCTGTGTTTTCTTTCCTTATCCACTGCCATGAATGAAAGACAGCAGTCAAACACAAACAACAAGCCATTCAATTAGTGTCTGACTGTCACTACACTGATGCCCCATGGCTTGGTATCTCTATTAGCAGTAAGAAGATAGCATTAACAATAACCTATACACAAGCCACCCACCTCTCCTATCCTTTCTTCTCCTCTCCTAATGTCTAAAACTAGAAGAAAAAACTTCCTTGCCTTCTCTGCCAGTTGACATCTATATCTATTTTATGCTATGGACCCAGAAATTAAGTCTGGCAGTACATTTAATATTTGCATAATGACACTATTCTCATCAAACTTTTCAATTAATCAGATCAAATGACAGTTCTGATGGATGTCAGCGTGCCAATCCAACTCTTTCTGTTGTGAAAGGAGGCGTCTATCTTCTCCAATTTCTGAACAATCTGTTCCGTGTCTGATGGAACAATTTCAACACTTTAAAAGTTTAAATTCTGTGCACGATTTTTTTTTTGCTCATCTCCTGACTATGTCACTCTACTAATGATGCTAAGATAAGATGTTGTACAAGACATGCCATGCCTACCTGCAACTCTACTAAGATATGGATCTCTCCTGTGAGGCTACAACAATGCAGCAGTCAAGCACAGCTAAAACTCATCTACTGACAAGTACAGCACCACGGAATGCTGAACTGATGGCCCACGCTTAAAGGCAGTAATCAACTACAACTGTCTCTTGCCCCAGAAGCACATGAACCTCCTGCTCCCTGCTGTAGTGGGAAATTCAAAACAAATAATATTGTGACTACGTCTGGTGTATAGATGTTTATTTTTCCTTTTCTCATTGGGAAATTTCCCCCTAAAAATGTTCCAGTTGCCTTGAAACAGGTTTTCTAAACTTGAACCAATTTATTCAGGTTAGAATATAACCCAAAGCAGCCAAATGTAAAATTGAGCAATTGAAGTTGTTGCAGGTTGGAGTCACACTGAACCGTAAATATCTTTTAAATGGTTAACAGAAATGCATTTGCAAGTCATGAGGATAAAAAGTAGCAGCAGATTTTTTATGTAACTTTTAAAAAATAATTTTCAATCAGTTAAAACAGAGCTCTCAGCCAATTTGGTTTATTCTTCAGCACCACACACACTGCACTGATTATCACATTTATATACAACTAAAGTAGATTTTGAAAACTTTTCAAACATTTAGATACATGTTTTAAAGTGTGAATGTCTTTATAAACTGTGAACATCTTTATAACAGAAACTAAAACTGAATTGCTGCATTGTCATTAGTATCATCACAATCAATTG